GGGCTCGATCCCAGGACCCTGGGATCATGACCTGAGCCGAAGGCAGATGCTTAACGACTGAGCCACCCAGGCGCCCCCAACTAAGAATTTTCTTAAAGTGTAAATCTTCTGGTAATTCAAAGGCTGCATAGCTATATTCCTCTTTTGTAACAGCAGAAAAAAAAAAAAACTTAGTTAAGGGAAACTGTAAAACTCTCTGGCTCATACTAAAAATTTACAATACAAATTTAAAAGTCCAAACCAAAGTTTTCCATGAGGATCCAGGAAATTACTGTCCCCAGGTTTTCCTTCCTGGTTATAACCCATTATCCCAATTTCAGTCCCTGGTTCAACTGCTAAAATGATATAAGATTTTGCAAAGTTAAGATTTCTGTTTCACAACTTAAAAGATTTTATGGCTATCACTGAGGAACTCCTGAGGTAAGCCAACCTCCTTTAATGTATATATTTTAAATTAGGGAATAGTTTAGGAATATTAAGAAAGACAGAAAAATAATATAAGCAACACTCCCACATACCCACCACTCAGCTTAAGAAATGCAATGTTTTAAATAGTCTTGCAGCTGCATGTGAATCACTCTCTTCTACTCCTTCATCCCCATTGGTAACCATTATACTGAATTGAGAATTTATGATGTGCATTCATGCATCCATACCATTACTAGGTGTGTGATTGCTTTTTAAAGTTTCCATAAATGATACTGTACTCCATGTATCTTTCTGCCATTTGCTGATTTTGCTCAACTTTTTTTAAAGATTTTTTTTTTTGCATGTCAAAAGTTTTATACAGAGGAACTTCAAGAATTTCTCTACTGTATGGTGACTAACATAACATAATTAATAATAACAGAAGACTTTCTCTAGAGTATATAAGTAGGAGTAGATATGCTGGATATAGGACAGGCTAGCTGTCAACCTTCCTTGATAATACCAAAATCTTTAAGTGGTCACTAAAAATTTCTACCACAACCAGGAGAGGCTCCCTTTCCTCTAACAACTTTGCCAACAATTGATATTGTCACACTTAACTATTTTTTTAATAAATCTAGTAGTTTCTAACGGTGTATTAGACACTTTAGATGATATGTTGTAGAGTTTGGATTCTGTTATACTCCTCTTAGGAGTATTCAGTCTTATTCTAACAGGCAAATAAACTGTTGGTGGTTTACCTTGATCATGTGGGGACTTGGCTTTAGGTTTTATTAGGGTGGCTCTGTATCGGATTTGCTCTTAATTTTTAGTGCACTTCTGTAGTCCTGGGATGTAGTTTTTTATTCCTACGCTGTGGCCCTTCTGGAGTTTCAGTGGAAAACTCAGATTGCTCATGAAGCCCCTCTAACTTCAGGTTCAAATTCCAAAGTCTGTCTCTCCTACACTGGGCAGCTGCTGAAATTTCTGTTCAGCTCTCTTAAGACTTCTGGCTACTATTTTCCACCTGGGCTCCTAGGGTAAAACTCACACATGTCAGGGGTTAGCTGAGAATTGAACAAGAGTTTATACACAGATTTTGAGGCTCTCTCTCTGTGGCTCCTTTATGTAGGGGGTATCGCACTCAATTTCCAGGCACTCTGGCAGCCTCACACTGACCCCTCTGACCATTAAGACTCTGGTTTTCTTCTGGAGTTCTATCTGTCCTGTGGCCCTGCTGATCAGGGAATGCCCCCCGAGGGAAAACCCATTTAAATGTGGATCTCTTATCCAGTGTGGTACCCTTCATCTAAGAATCAAAACCTCTCCAGTTTCTGACTACTTTTAGTCACTCACCAATGCTTCCAAACCGTTTTCCTTCTTAAGTGTTTTTCCAAAGTGTATAATTATTACAATTGGCAGGAGTAGCTGTGCAATAGAACCCACTCTGCCATTTCCAAAAGGCAGAACCTTGACGAACAGAAGCAAATCTCGATGTGCTCTCATTTCCTAATCTTTTCTTTCTATGATTCATGGTATTTTTAAGCCTTGTCTAAGAAATTCTTTCCTATCCCAAGGTCAGCTTGTATATTTTATTCTAAAAGTTTTTTTCTAAGGTATTTAAAAAATATTTTGGTTTTTAATTCACTTGTATTTCATTTCTTGTACATGGCTTAAAGCAGAAATCCAATTTCATTTTATTTTTACGAGCAGATGAACAAATTTTCCCAGTCCCATTCCTGAAAAGTCCACCCTTTCCACTCTGATTCATGAAGTGCACTGTCATAAATCTAGTCTCATAAATATCTCAATCTGTTCCAGGCTCTCTCTTCTGTTCCAGTCTCTCTCTTCTGTTCCAGTGTTTGTCTATACCTACACGCATACTGTAATACCTTAATTATTACATCTTTATAGTAGGTCTTGTTATCTGGGAGAGCAAGTCCTTCCACTTTGTTCTCCAAGATTGCTTTGCCTTTTCTTGGCCCTTTGTTTTTTTCAAATAAATTTTAGAATCAATTTGTCAAGTCACATGAAAGCCCTGTTGGTGAGAATTAACATCTTTAAAATAGTAAGTCTTCTCATCCACAAATCTGGTATACTTTTTCATACATTCTAGTATTCTTTCATGTCTATCAATTTTTATAAATTCTCCACAAAATATTTTTGTTACTATATTCTATATATTTTAAAATATCTTTTAAAATGTTACTTTCTCGAATGATCTTTTCATCCAACTTACCCCAATTTACTCTGCCATATCAAATGAATTTCATCAAAATTGTTTACTGAAGCTATAAATTCTAAGATTTATTTCGTAATACACAATCTAAAGGATAACAATACTTTAACACTCCCATTTGCAAACCATTTTTTTCATGTCATGGATTTATCAAGTAAGTGTCTTATCTGATATACTTACCAAGAAGCTCCATGGTCTCTACTCTCAGTGTCCAGGAAATTAGAGTCCAAAAACATGTCTTTGTAGATTCGACCAACTAGGCAATACATATCTGAAGCAACCTGCCCTTCACTTTGCACCAGCGGGATCATAACATCAAGAGCTTTTTCTCTATCTCCAGGGAGATTTCTCCTAAGGTTGAAGGAGAAAAAATATCATTGTTTCAAGATAGATTATAGAAGCAATGTAGGCCAATTATCTTTTTAAAACTCTACTTGATATATTGATTCACATTAGTGAAGTTTGGCAGGATAAAGACAACCATAAGATTTTGAGAGTCCCCTGTAAAGCTCTGTCCTAAGCCTCTTTGTCTTTTCAATCTATCGCACGTCTACTGGGTCTAACAAGGATCACTTCTGAGCTGCTTTCCTGATGACGGTGATAGATTTGCATTTACCCATCTATATAGTCCTTCTAATTTCATAGCCCATACTTTTACGGTTCATAGGTTCAAGGGCATGGAGTAGGATTAGGAATGCAGTCTGTGGCCTTAAATGGGGCAGTTGACTAATCCAGACAAGGACCAAACCCTGACTTTAGGTTTCAATGGCTTTTGCTCCAAACACTGTACAGACTTAGTCACAGACAATACCAACAAACCAACTTTAACCCAAGAGTTGCCTAAAGTCCACCTGTGACCAGTTGATGATCTAAGGAAGATACTTTATGTAGATCATTTTAAAATAGCAAGTATGTGTAGATCATTGTCAAAACCAGATAAAAATTCTCTTAAAGGGACGCCTGGGTGGCTCAGTCGGTTAAGCATCTGCCTTCAGCTCAGGTCATGATCCCAGGATCCTGGGATTGAGTCCCGCATCGGGCTCCTTGCTCAGCAGGGAGCCTGCTTCTCCCTCTGCCTGCTGCTCCCCCTGCTTGTGCTTGCTCACCTGTACTCCCTCTCTCTCTCACTCTCTGATGAATAAATAAATAAAATCTTTATCGATTTTTTTTAAAGATTTTATTTATTTATTTGAGAGAGAGAGAATGAGAGACAGAGAGCATGAGAAGGAGGAAGGTCAGAGGGAGAAGCAGACTCCCGGCTGAGCAGGGAGCCCGATGCAGGACTCGATCCCGGGACTCCAGGATCATGACCTGAGCCGAAGGCAGTCGCTTAACCAACTGAGCCACCCAGATGCCCCAATAAATAAAATCTTTAAAAAATTCTCTTAAAAATTATTTCTTCGATCTTAAGAACATTATGCTAAGTGAAAGAAACCAGTCACAAAAGATTACATATAATATGATTCCATTTATATGAAATGTCCAGAATAGGCAAATCTAGAGACCAAAAGTAGATTAGCGGTTGCCTAGGTCTGGGAGATTTGGGGGGGGAAGGGAGAATGACTGCTAATGGGTTTCCTTTTAGGGAGATGAAAATGTTATATTTATTGTGTTGATGGTCATACAATTCTGTTACTATATTAAAAACCATTAAATTGTATATCTTAAATGGGTGAATTGTGTGATATATGAATTATATTTCAATAAAGCTGCTACAAAAAGTTATTTCTCTTCTCCTCTATGACTTTAAATATATCTGCCTACGAAATTCCTTTTTGCACTTTGTCCTAAGTACCTTGAGTTTATAATAACCCTTCATACAAATATGCTTATCAATTCATCATACTGTATTTTAGGAAAGGTAAAGACAAAACACAAAGAAAAATATAAGCGGCTCTACAGACTTTCAGTTTTCATTTCAAATAAGAACATATTCCATTCCATCTTTCAAGAAAGATTTATTTGAGAGCCAGTTGGAGCTGGTAATCTCTGGAGGTCTCATCTCACTCTGTCAAATCTAAAGAAAAAGATGTTTAATAAATGGGGAAATGGAACATATTTTCATTCTACACTTATTGATACAGTTAGCAAGTTCTACAGTTTGGGTGGACAAAGAAGGGAAGAAACAATCTCTGGTTGAATAGCATGCTGACTTTTTTCTTTGCAGACAGAGGCAGGAGAACCTAGTGATGAAGAGCACAGACATCAGTATCCAACAGATCTGGGTTTGAGCCTCAGTTTTATGACTTGCCAACTATGGGCCTTGAAGAAAAGGTATTCAATGTCTCCAAGCTTTGGCTTCCTCATCTGTAAAATAATCAAGCCTTAAGTGACACACAGCATGTGGCCCAGAGACATGATGTCTCTCCCTTTCTCTTTTACTCATTCTCTTCAGTTGTAGTAACTACATATATATTCAACTCCCACCATGGAAGAGAGCAGCACAACTAACAAGCTTTGGACAGCTCAGTGCTTTGGGCCTCTCTGTGGCCAGAGCATGGCTGGTGCCTATGGTGACTCTGGGTAAGATGTGGCACTGAGGTATGTGCCATGATGTAAACAGAAGGCCCAGAGGCAGGACTGGAAGTAGGAGCCTTCAAGCGGGTCTTAGCAGATTCATGGATACATGCCCTAAAATGTGCCCAGTGGAGTTCTGATTATAATTAGATATGTTCAGAGCAGTGAAAATGAAAATATTCTCTGGTTACCAGGAATATGTTCATCTAGACATAATTACCCTTACCCTACTTAGTAAATTTTTTAAAAAGATTTATTTATTTATAGGAGACAGAGAGAGAGAGAGTGGGGGGTGGAAGGGGCAGAGGGAGAGAAGGAGAGGGAGTCTTAAGCAGACTCTGCACTCAGCACAGAGCCTGATGTGGAGCTTGATTCCATGACCCCGAGATCATGACCCCAGCCAAAACCAAGAATCGGACACTTAACGAACTGAGCCACCCAGGCGACCCCCTAATTTGTAAATTTTTAAGTAAATAACCACTTGGGGTTGAGCATATTTGCCTAAAAATAATATCATATTTGTGCAATTTAAAAAAATTCTAAACAAGTATAAATAGTAAAAACAAACTCAGAGAAAAAAAGAACTTTAAGAATTTAAGGAATAACATGGAGGACATTAGGGGAAGGAAGGGAAAACTGAAATCAGAGAGGATGACAAACCATGAGAGACTATGGACTCCTGGAGACAAACTGAGGGTTTCAGAGGGGAGGGGGATGGGGGGGATGGGGTAGCCGGGTGATGGGTATTAAGGAGAGCACATGTTGTAATAAGCACTTGGTGTTATATGCAAATAATGAATCATTGAACATTACATCAAAAACTAATGAGGTACTGTATGGTGACTAACATAACATAATAAAAAATAAATTAAAACAAAACAAAACAAAAGAGAATTTAAATATATAAACTGTAAGGGCTTTTTTTTACTGACAAAAAAATAAAAAAACCAATGTATATGCTTCCTATATTTTATATGGTTGAAGTAGAAATATTAATATTACATTCTAATAGGGAGTGGCTTCAATGCTATGGCAAAAAAATACCCTAGGAAGAAAATGCAGGTTACAAAATAGTATGTTAGCATACTGTGGACAGAAATTTTCCTTCTTACCTATTCAGTGCAAATGCATAATGAAACTTCACATGGTGATGGGAAGCCAAATCAAAGGTTGGCAGCTTTTCTAACGTCTCTACCAGCTTCACAATAGAATCATAGTCCTTTCAAACAAGAGGAGAATAACACAGAATTAAACTACTAGGAGAAAGTTCTGACAATGAGATGACTTCTGACAACCAGATATTTGAATCCAAGAAGGGTGTTAAAAAGAGAAGTAGGATCCATGGAATACTTTCAAGAATCTAAAACCAAAAAGAAATTGTTTTTTCTTAAATAAGAAATTTGGATTATATAGATAAAAACCTTAAAATACAGAGTCACCACAAATGACCCCCAAACAGTTCACCATCTAGCATGATAATCCTCTATTGTCTAACTATGGGTGGTTTACTTCTCCATGGAGCCAGATTCCTGGCATACAGTGTCCTATCAATTACTTTCAAAGAAATGATTTTCAAAATATCAAGGCCATGGAGCAAATGACTGAACTTCTGTTATAAGTAAGAAGATGATGTCATTTCAAGCTCCCCTAGTCTTGGGATCTGAAGTACCACACCTCTACCTGTATGTCAATTTCTGTTGTTCTCATGAAGCTTTACTTGGGCCTGAAAGGCTGGGAATAAAAAACTAGAAGTCATTTAGATTTTACTATATAAAAATCTAATAGCAAATCTCCAACTCAGAGAGGATTTCATTCTGTTTACCTTATTTTAGAAAATTTAAGACATGTCAATAAAATTAAATGGCATATTGGTGTGTTTTAAAAAGTTATTTTTATAATTAATCAGTTGCATATTTCTTGCTCCTGGCTAGTCAGATCTAGCACTATCAATTTCAAGCAACAGAATTCCAAGGAGTAAGAGCTTTGTTCAGAAAGCAGCCCCTCTCCCCCCCATTTCTGCTAGTTGCCACAACACAGCTTTCATTTATTGGCTGACAGGTGTGTCTGAGGCTAACAAAATAGAAGAGATTGTCCCCAGGTTAGCTATGCACACAGATTTTTCTTTTTATTCTTCTGGAGGAAAAAGTCAGACCTTTACCGTACAAGTACTTCATTACACAATCACGGATGGCTAACTCATAGGAGTCTTTTTCATTCATCATAGATTCTCAGGATGAAGAGCTTAGAAAAGTCAATTAAAAAAATTACATGTAGTGGCATGAATGACCTCTCAGCTAACTGAAATTTGATGCTAACTCTCCCTTATTCCTTCAACATGCTACATGATGAAGAGTTTCCTTTAAGCATCTTCTCACCTGGATATCTCTGTAGGAAAGTAAGAGGTTTATGACAATATCTGCTGTCAAGACTTCAATATTATCTACTCGTTGCCGAATTCTTGCCAATTCAGCTGCCAATTCTTTACCAGTGTATAAATTTCGAGCTTTCCTGATATCATTGAGTATAGATTCCCGGAAATACTGGCTGGTGAGAAAACATTTCAAAGAGTTAATACTAGAAGGGATTTCAAAGAAAAGCAATGATTGTATAAGGAAACAAATGACATTTGCAGCATTTGTAACTTTCAATTCACAGGATGCCTAGAATGAACACCTCATAGATCTTGCATTATTAAGGAATTTGGGAGTCCTATATATATATATATATGTTTAACACTCTGCTTTGCTTTAGAGAGACTTAGGTAAAGATCCTGCATCTTAATGAATTTTCCAAGAACCTACCATGTACCACTTGAAACGCCAAAACTTTATTTTTCATTTTACTGTTTCGAGTAGAAATTGTTCCAAATAAATCAGGGATGCCTCTGATTTGAACAAAATATAGCCTTCACTTTCTGACTCAGCATCATCACACTACCATAAATGGTTTTTCTTAACTAAAATATAATCATGCCATCACCAATTTTGGCAAAATTCTTGCTCTTATAGTAAAAGTCTGTGGATATTTATTCTGACACTATTTATCCCTACCATTACTATAATGTAGTTAGCAGTCTTCTTTTGCCCCCTTTCTGATCTCAAGTTGTTCTCTTGTGAATACAGTGAACTATGTGGCATCTCTTTTATCTACTTAGAAGATATCATACTTTTATTTTTCTGGTTCTTGGCTGTGTGCTATATCTAAGAAACATCCGATAAGATGCACAAATAAAGGATGTAGAACAGCACTCCATTATCATCATCAAACGGCATTATTCAACTTTACCTAGAACTTGCTTGTGCCACCTTCAGAAGTTGAATGAAACGATCCACAAGAGGTAAGCAAATGGGTCCAAGAAGCAGCTCGAAGTTCGGTTGCATGAGCTCTGTCAACCCCTTCATGAAGCTGCTATCACAGCAGTAGACCTTGTTATGTGGAGTGATCATGTAAGGGACAAATGTGTAGTTCCCAGTGCACATCTGTGGAAAGAGGAGGCGCCGGGAGGGGGTGAGCTGGCCTGGAGACTCCACACGAACGAAATCCCAAGTCCTACTGCATGGAGTCATTTTAAATAGTCATCCTGAATGTGAAGCTAAATAGAAAAACCTCATTTCTTATTTATGACCTATGAAAGTGGAAATTTCCTCCAATTTCTTTAATTGCTTATTGCAAATAATTAGGACTTACAGATGATGCAAAAAAACAAAACCCAAAAAATCCCAGTATGGCATAGCTTCTATCAGTCAATTAAATATTTATTCATCATCTCTCATGGCTAAGGCATTATGATATATGTATGCTGCAGGAAAAACAGAGTAGTTTAAAAACACAGCCTTCAGCCTTCGGGGAATTTAAAATTTAATCACAGAGACACAGCATAAATACATGACAAGAATAAGAGCTAACGTTTAAGAGCTCCGCACCTGACAGGCTCTGCTGTGAGTGATGCCGAAACAAAGCTGCTCCCTCCAGGCTGCTCTGTCATGGTCATGGCTCCATTAGCCTTCTAGTTACTAAAACTAGAGACCCAGAAGTTTTCCTTGAGGCTCCCATTTCCTTCACCACCCATATCCTATTGAAATCCGGTCTGTTCTACCTCCAAAATAAATCTCTTATTTGTCCATTTCCCTCCACCTTCTCTGCCCGCGTGGAAGATGAGGCCACCAACATATCCAGGCTAAGCCACCTTCAGTTGGTTTCCCTGCTTCCACTCCCACCCCCCAATCTATTCTCTACCCAGCTGTCAAAGTGATCTTTCTTTTTCTTTCTGATTTCAAGTTTTTAATTAAATTCTAGTTAGTGAACATACATGGTAAAACTGGTTTCATGGTAAAACTGGTTTCAGGTGAAGTTAGTGATTCATCACTTAAAATGACCTTTTAACAACCTATTATCAGATCACTTCCCTCAGCTGCATAAGGCTCCCCTCCTTGCTCCTGGGATGAAGATAAGACATGTCCCAGTGGCCTACAAGCGACTGAGAACCCAAATCCTGCTTCTCTCTCTGGCCTCGGCCCATGCCACTCTCCACTCACTCATCCTGACCTACTATAGATTCCCGGTGATGCCAGGTGAGGGAACACTAGTGCAAGCAAAAGTTGAGCTGGGAAGAAGAAAGAGGAAATTGGACTGGACATCCCTGAGTAAGTCAGTCTGACTGGATCTTAGAGCTCGGGCAAGGGATGTGAATGCAAAACTCAGGATTTTAAACTGTACGTACTGGGCAGTGAGAATCATGGAAGGATTCAGAGCACGAAAGAAAACATAATCACAGTCTTAAATGGGGTTACCTAAAAAGAGTGGTATCATTAGCAAAAAAGCAAAAATTCAGAAAGCAGAAGCAGACTTCATTGTTTATGAACATATTACAGTTGAGGGCACTTGTTATATATCAGATAACAAATCACACACAGAACCTGACTTCCAGTTAATATATGAGAGGAACTGCAAGAGGTTGAAACCTGAGTTGGGGTGGGAAGCGTGAAATGTTCACTATTAAAAAGGCTGAGATTTAAGGAGGGCAGGACACTGAAAGTCAGAATGTCCAGAAGAAAGCTGGAAATATGTGATTGGAACATAAAAGAGTTTCCAACAAAAGTACAGACCTGGGAAGCATTCGGTATGGTTGAATCTAAGGAAACATGAGAGACCTCTAAGAGAAAAACCATAGAGAGGAAAAAAGGCAGAGGGCTGACAAGTAAAATGAGAAAAGTGGGAAACCCTATCACTGTTTTAGGGAGCACAGCGAGCCCAGATTACGGATCCTAGCCGTTTCAGCATTATGGGGAACAATACATCACTTTGCTTCCCCTTAGAACAAAACCAATGAGAGCAAACATTGACTCACACTTGCCATGTGCCAAGAATGAATGGTCATGCGTTCCCAATAACCCACCGAAGAAGGTACTGCTGTCTCTGTTTTTTTTTTCAAAGATTTTATTTATTTATTTGAGAGAGAGAGCACAAGCAGGGGGAGGGGCAGAGGCAGAGGGAGAAGCAGGCTCCCCGCTGAGCAGGGAGTACTGTTGTCTCCGTTTTATAGGTGAGGATTCAGACAAGGCTCAGATAAGGTCATGCAGCTGGTCTGTGATGTGTTTGGGACTCCAGCCCAGGGACTCTTCTCTAGAGGGTATGCCATTATTGTTAGAGGGATCAGCACCCTCCCCAGTGGCCTCTATAGGCTGACACACCAACACTTCGCCTCACGTCACTTTTGTGGAACTCAAGCTACTGCCTCATAGCAAACACATGAGAACTGATATATGCCTTTACGGCCAGAATGAATTACTTATTCAATATTCTTTAAGGTACTTGTTGTATGTCAGGTAGTGAGGCAGAAACTGGACCTGACTTCCATTTAAAGTAGGAGAAGAACTTCCAGAGGTTGAGATTTGATTTTTCAAGCACATGAAATTGTTCCTTTCTTAAGTTCTCCTTCATGAAATAATAATTTGGAAAGCTAGTCAGGAAGAGGAAAAATAAACATATCCTGCTTCTAAAATGTTTCCGAGATCCCACAGCATGTCCACCAGTTTGATCCTTTTACCTGATCTATCGCCTGAGCAGAAAAGAAAGGCGAGTCCATCGTCTCTCATGGTTCGTCCACCCCTCCGATTTCCCCCGCTTCATTCCTCCCTTCCCACTACCTTCTTCTTCTTCTTTTTTTTTTCTTAACATATCTTGCATTATTTGTCTCAGAGGTACAGATCTGAGATTCAACAGTC